ACACATACGCTCCTACTACTGATTGTTGAAAAACTTAACTCTTTGTCAACGGAAGTATCGATTGGGAAATGAGTGGAGAAAAAATAAATTTAAAAATCGTTTCTTTGGCATGCTGTGTAGATTCCCCGTGCAATTGCAGTATTCTTAACATAAAACGGTTCAATGGTACGTTTTGGTACACTTTTTTCTACCACCCAACCGAAAACATATACAGTGTGCAAAAATATACTATTGAAAATGACTTTTTTTCACTCCAAACTCATGTGAATATCGTTAAAGATATGATGTCGACGCGAGAGTTGGATAAACGAACTGGACAGGTAAAATTTGAAGAAATTATCGGTGTAAAAGGTACATTTGCTTAAACTTATTTAAAATATTTCGATCTAACAGATGGAATGACTCCAGACAGCATGAATTGCATACTCCTTGGTGTGGCAGAACCATACACAGACTTAATACTAAATTCTTATAAGAAACAATACTATGTTGGATCCCCAACAGAACTGGCTATGATAAACGACCGTCTGAAAACTATAAAGACACCAAAACTAGTATCAAACACAGCAAGATCTCTTAATCATCGGGCTTTATGGAGAGCATCGGATTAGTGATTATGGTTACTGTGTTATAGTATGATATGTCTGGATAGTATTTTGCCGTCAAAATATTTAAAAAATCCGTCTTAATTAGTCAGGGGAGTTGCAATGATACTAGGAGACGCAATAAGTTTAAAGGATGTGAAATTTGCTAACAATCTTTTAATTGAATTCTTGTTAGATTTTAAAAAGTACTTTGGTAAAGAAGAAATAAAATATAACATACTTTCATTACTACATGTGTGTAGAATTGTTGTGGATCTTGGTCCACTATATTTTCATGATGCTTTTTGTTCTGAAATCTAAAATGATTTACTATTACATATAAAAAAAACGCCCAACAGAAGTTGCTACTCAAATAGCAAAACACTACACGTTTTACAGGTCAATACCAAGTTTTCCCCAAAGTTTTCAACTGGACCACGAGTCATTGAATTTTCAGAAAATTTTGATAATCGAGTGAAATTATATATTGTTGTAAGCTGTGCAATAAATGTTGGTGCAGGAATTCCTTAAAATTTTAACAAACAAGAAAGAAACTTGGCATATGGAGAAAGCTGCTTGAGATACGGAAAACTAATTTATATAGGCCGAGGATACACTACCAAAAGTTGTACACAGAATCTGAAAATTAATGATTTAATGATCGAAACACATAGTGGACTTAAAGTTGTTATGTATAACGTTTGTGTATTAAATGACACAACAGAACAAGTTGTGATATTTTTCCATCCAATAGTAATAAGCCGTCAACAAAATGATGATTCAGCGGTTATTCGACATGTTAATAAGTGTTTCATTTAGTTCAACTAAATTAGTTCCTGTGAGATAAACGATTTAAGAAACAAACGTATATGAATCCATGTCGGTAACAAATAGTATATATGTAGTATGTTAAGAGGTTTCCTTAGTGGTTAATTTAAAAAAAACGATCAAATGTTACAATGTTGTCATATAATACGGTAGGGGCTAAAAAATAATAAAGTAACATATTTTCTATAACAAGATTTACAATTATTTTCCGTAGTTAATTAATACTTATTTCTTCCTGGGGAAATGCACATGAGTGGCGAATACTTTTTTTTCTACTAAGGGCGTGACATCATCGAAAAAGCACCCGTAGTAAAAATTCTCTTTCTTACCTGGGGCGTTTTTAGAGGCTGTTGTGCCCTCGGTAGAAAAAGTAGGATCCATCACATAAGCATCATCGCTCTGGGGCTAACTTACGTCCCTCGAGTCGGAAAAAAGCTCAGGAGATGATGGCACTTATCCGACGAGAACAACTATTAGATACATTAAGGATAAAATAAATGATTGTTCTATTATACATTTATAAAATATTTTACGTCACGTTATAGATATACTATTTATCTATTTACAATTATGCACATAAACCAAAAACTCATACATTACGAAAAGCCTTCCTTAAGAGTTTTAAGATTTCACTGAGTAAAACAATGTATGTGTAATTGTACGAATTATTAATTTGACGCATAGTAATCTGCAAAATTATTTTCGAACCATGACACCATTTTTGAATATTTTTTTTAAATCTAAATATATTAAAAAAAAACTTAAACAAATTTAAATATTAACAAACAATTTCTAATAATCTTTAACAATTTCGGATGATTACAAAAAATTTTAAATTCTTTCAACAATAATTAAAGATTATCAAAAATTATCTGAAATTATCTAATAATTGTAAAGGTTTTTTTTTCTATTCAAGACAATTTCGTCCAGCCAATAACCAAAATTGTTTTTGCACCATTATTACATTTGAACATTTTTTTAAGTCTAAATGTAGTAAGAAAAAAAAAAAAATTTAACAAGTTCCAATTATTGCAAATAATTTCTAATGGTATTTAATAATCTTCGATAATTGCAAATATATGAGTCCAAATTCTTAAAATAATTATCAATAATTATTGAAAATTATTAGAAAATATCGAAAATTATTGAATGGTTTCAAATTTTTTTATTTCCTATTAAAAATTATTTCGCCCAGGGTGACGTACGTATATACGTATACATACACAAAGAAGACTCTCCTACTTGACTAAAGCAGTAGACAGGGAAGCTATCTTAATACAAATGTGCCAACACAGAACAAACCGTCTTTTACATCGTTTAACTTAGGGTTAAATATTTGTAGATCGAGAAATAGTGTACGTGTACGTATATAAATGAGTAATTCTGTCGCAACTTGCTCAGATCGACTTGAAAAATTGTTAAAAAAAAAAAAAAAATTATCGAAAAAAAGTTTTTTCATGGTATTTCTACTGTATACAACATTAGTAACAAATGTTTAAAGGGATGCAACTACAAGATTAACTAGTCAAAAGTTATAAGAAATTTTATGAAAGTCAGTTTTCATTGATTTTTGAATAATTGTATTTCTTTTAAATACGTGTAGATAAGCTCCTTTAACAGTTTGAGTGTTCTTACTAGGCTTTAATAAAAGCTGGGATAAAGACCTTTTAATCAAAAAAAATTGTGTTTGATTTTGTGCCATCATTAAAAAGTAACAGCTGTTTTAATTAGAAGGTTAATATCGCTAATAATGTGATTTTGGGTAAAATTCAGTATTTTTTAGAAAATTCCTGTAACTTTTCATTCGGGTCATAAATTTCAAAGATTTTTAATTTAAGTATTACGACTATATTTTTGCCTCCACTTTATCCCAGATAAAGCCACCTAATGAAATGCACCACTTGGTTACCAACGTTGGAAGTAGCACCACCGTTTTTGCATTTATGTAGCGAAAAGAGGCCGGGCCAGAGGAGGTTCAGCTAGGACTAATTGCTCTAAAACGAAAAAAACGGCACTTTGAGATCAGGTACGGTTGGAATGGAATTTTCAAAGTTTATAGTGCTCATATGACTCATAGACGTATAACAATGACTTGTCCCACAATACTCAATTAACTAGCTTCAAATGCAATAAGAGAACTGTAGTTTGGGTACCTGCAAACGTACACGGAGTGGTTGTTCCATGGGGGGTCAGAATGGAATAAAACGTTTGTACGCACGAAATAAGTAAGTAGAAGAGCTTCGCTATTTGAGACATAACAACTTCTGGTACTACTGTCGTCAGTCTGTTAATTTTAGTCGTATAATTTAAAAAGTAACCATTGGTTAGCATTTATAATCTAAAAAAATATTAGTTTGAACTGATTTTTGTCAAAACCATTATTATGGTGTAGATATGCGGACAAAATCTATGCATTGAACTCTTACCCATCTCTCTCAATGTTTAGTGGGGCTAAGATACAAATCCTTTTCTTAATAGTTAGGGTATATAATGCTTACACACTAAAGTGGCAGACAAGCTTTATTTTTTAACGATGGAGGTTTTAATGTGTGAAATTGAGTCGTGGACATGGGTCGGGATGGAAAATTCGACTTCAAATGATCGATTATCTTAATGAAAAAAATTATATATCGGTATTAGACAATCTGTCAAGTAAAATTGACAACATTTGACTCAATTAAACGTTTTTAAATATGGATTTCATTATGGCATGCGAGTGCGAGTACCTGACACAATCTGAGAAATTTACGGCAGAATCATCCATATATATATATATACTAATATAAAGTAACCCATTGTGAGCAAGTACATTTTACAAAAACGATCATAACTGCTAGTCGGCAATTAGTAACGCGTGTCATTACGCTTTCTCAGGGATCATACTGGTGAATAAATTGAATTTCATTCACTTTCCTTCCTGCCCCCCCCCCTAGACCCACATTATACGCTGTATACTTCAGGCCATGTAGATCACCGAGGTAAGTTATTACTTGTAGGTAACAATTCGTACTACTATACATACACCCACTCATAGTCTGGCTAATTGGCTAGTACTTATTTTTTCTCCCGTTGAAAAAAAAGCTATGCACTTTTTCACCAAAATTACTGTGTCGAATCTAGCTACATGTATTTATTCATGTCTATCTTACCATCTTACGCACTACAATGAATATGGCAGACTATCTATATGTATGCTGTATTAGCTACAGGTATAGGCATTAGCAGTTCGAAAACATTTGTAGAAATTTGAAATATTGTTATTACATTTGAGAATTCTTATAAAATTAACAGGTTTTTAAAATTTGACAAATTTTATTAAAGTTTTAATCATGATGATACATGTTTGGTAAAACACTTTATTTGATATTGTACAAGCGGGTTGATTACAGCGTGAGAGGCGTCATGAGTGTGAGCGGGACAAGCGTCTGGTCGTCTCGGAGAGCAGTGCTCAAGTGCCCGAACGCAGAGGCGGCTCCCGGCAAGGCGGAAGCCCGTGAGCATGGCGGAAGTGCACGCAGCGCCTCGCTCGGCTGTCGCGCTCGGGCGCGAAACCAAACAATCCGCCCGCCTCGATCCTGGATCGAAGAACTACGTGCCGCCCGCCAAACCGGGGTCGGTCAGGGAGTCTTCTGGAGGCGGCGGAGCCGCGGGAGGCGCTGACACAGGCAGCAAGACCATCTTGGTGATGGATCGCTTGTACACGCCAGTCGCCGTCTTGAGGGTAGCAGCGCGGACAAAGCCGTCGGCTCCCGGGTGGACGCTGATGACACGGCCGATCGGCCATCGGCCGCTGGACTGCAGAAGTGTAGCGTCGAGGAGGACGACCACATCGCCGACGATGAAGTTCCGGCGAGGAGTAGTCCATTTTGACCGCTGTTGGAGTGTGTTGAGGTATTCTCGGCTCCAGCGGGACCAAAACTGGGCGCGGACCCCCCGAACGAGCTCCCAGTGGGCGAGCGCATCCAAGCTCTCCGCAGGGGGGCCGGGCAGAACGATGGAGTTGAGAGGGCCACCGACAAGGAAGTGCCCTGGGGTGAGAATATCGAGGTCTCCAGTGTCTCCAGATAGCGGTGTCAGTGGTCGGCTATTTAAGACCATCTCGATGCCAACGAGCACCGTGGAAAATTCCTCGTAGGTGAGATGGCGTGACCCCATGACGCGCTGGAGGTGACTTTTGGTTGACTTGACGGCGGCCTCCCACAAGCCACCGAAGTGAGGAGCACCCGGTGGAATGAACTTCCAAGCAATTCCTTGATCGGCGAGAGAGCCCGCGACCAATCCCCAGTCCAGCTCGGCTGTCAGCAAGGCATCGCGCAGCTCAACATCAGCGCGGCGGAAGCAAGTCGCGTTGTCGCTCCATATCTCACCGGGCCGACCGCGGCGTCCAGCGAATCGGTGGAGGGCGCCCAAGAAGGACGCAGCCGAGAGATCGCCGACCAGCTCCAGGTGCAGGGCCTTGGTGGCGAGGCACACAAAAACGGCGATGTAGCCTTTCGTGGTCCGGACTCCTCGTCCTCTGGCGGAGAGTACATGGAAAGGGCCGGCGTAGTCTACTCCGGTGCAGGCAAAGGCACGAGAAGGGGAGACTCGAGACGACGGCAGTGGGGCCATGAGTTGAGTCGCCGGTCGCGCTCGCAGCCGGATGCAGACGACGCACCTGCGGAGGTGAGCCTTGATCCGCCGGGGCCCACCGAGGAGCCAAGCGCGCTTACAGACGTAGGCACTGGTGACACGGTATCCACCGTGCAGCGCCCGAGAGTGCGCCCAGGCGATGACCATGGAAGCGAGGGAAGAGGCGCCGCTGAGAATTGGCGGGTGCCGCTCCTCGTAGGTCAGCGGTGAATGCTCTAGCCGCCCGCCGACGCGCAGAATCCCGTCGTCATCGAGGAAGGCTGCTAACGGTACCAAGGGGTTCGTCTTCCGCAGACGTTCGCCCCGTCGAAGACACTGGAGGTCGTCCGAAAATGATCTCTCCTGGCTGAGGCGTACACATGCGAGAAAAGCGTCGTGGAGTTCGGTCGGCGTAAGAGGTGAAGCGACCGAAAGCACGGGGCCCCTGCCCAAGCGGCTCCGGACGAATCGACGAATGCGTACGAGGAAGCTTAGTAGCATGCGTAAGTTGGAGAATTGCTCGAGGTAGCTGGCGTCGAGCTGCTGCACTACGCAGCAGATGGATGAATGCTGGTTCGGTGCGGGGAGCGGGTCTAGGGGCCACGAGTCGACGTCCTCGGCGAGCCAAGTGGGGCCCTCCCACCAAGTGCGCTGCGAGCGAAGGCCGGTCATGTCGGCACCTCTGGTCGCGAGGTCGGCTGGATTTGACTGGGTCGGCACGTATCGCCAGACACTCGAAGGCAGCATTTCCTGGATTTGGGCGACATAGTTGTCGATCAGCACGTTGTTGGTTGGCCTGTCGGAACGCAGCCAGTGCAGAACGATCTGTGAGTCGCACCATGCGTGACAGCGGTCGACAGGTACGCGTAGCTCGTCGGCAGCGGTCCGCAGGAGCTTGGCGGCAATCAGTGCGGCGCGGAGCTCGAGGCGCGGAATCGTCATGCGCGCGGATGTCTCTGGCGCCGGCTTGAGCGAGCGAATCGGCGAGAGCTTCGTCCGAGCCAGAAGAATGTGGCAGAGCGCCGGCCCAGCCCCGGGCGCGAGGCGAGAGTAGATGACGGCTGCCATCGCGCGGCGACTGGCGTCCGAAAAGCCGTGCAGGTGAAGCTCGGAAGAAGGCCCAACTCCGATCCAGCGCGGTAAGGTGAAGGTGGAGATGGCCTGGAGCTCGGCGGTAAATTCCGCCCATCGGCGAGTCATTGAGATCGGCGCAGGCTCGTCCCAGCCCAGTCTGGCGCGCCAGAGATCCTGGAGCAAGAGCTTGGCATTCAACACGATCGGCGCGAGCCAGCCGCATGGGTCGAACAGACCCGCGAGCGCCGCGAGCATCGTCCGCTTTGTGCTCTGCGGCTGGAGTGGTGGAGGCGTCAACTGAAAGCAGTCCGACGGTGGATCCCACTTGACCCCGAGCTCGCTGACGAGGCCTTCAGCGCTGAGCTGCTCCCAGGTCGGACGTAAGCGGACGTCGTCAGGCAGATCGTCGAGCAGCTCGCGGACATTGGCCACCCACTTCCGCAGGGGAAAGCCGCCGGCCTTCATGAGCCCGCTCAGCTGGTCGCGGAGGCGCCGAGCCGCGGTGACGTCGTCGGCCCCGGAGAGAAAGTCGTCGGCGTAGCGGTCACACAGGGCGGCTGACACAGCTTCGGGCCAGTTGTGGCCTTCGTCCTGGCATAGCTGTTGGAGGGTACGCAGCGACAGGTAAGGCGAGCACGATTCGCCGTAAGTCACAGTGAGCAGCTGGTAGTGGGTTGGAGGCTGGCTGGGATCGGCAGCCCAGACGATCCGCTGCAGGTCGACGTCACGGTAGTCGATCCAAATCTGCCGGAACATCATGCGGATGTCGCTGCAGAAGGCGATGCGGTGCCGCCGCCAGCGCATGAGCACCGATGGGAGCGCGGCTTGGAGTCTGGGTCCAGCGTGGAGGACGTCATTCAAGCTGTGGCCACTGGAAGTCGGGTTGGACGCGTTGAAGACTACTCGGAGCTTGCGCCCGCGATCAGCATGCTGCCAGATGCCATGATGATGGATGTAGTTGACGGGCCCAGCTGTAGCTGCAAGCTCAGCGCTGGTGAGCGGGCGCATGTGGCCCATCGCGAGATAGTCAGCCATGAATCGACTATACTCCACAGCCATATCGGGGCTTCGCCGAAGCCGGCGTTGCAGGGCTGCCAAGGAGGCCTTGGCGCTCTGAAGACTGTCGCCAAGAAGAAGCGAACCGCTGCCCTTCAGCGGGAGGCGCACGATGTACCGTCCGTCCGCGGCGCGTCGGTGGTCTGCGAAAGCACGCTCGCACTCGATGTCCTCATCTGAGCGGCGGTGAGCCTGAGGAAGATCCTCCATCTCCCAGAACCGCTGTAGCAGAGCGGTTAGCTCGTTGTGCCAAGGCGGAGCCACGTCGGATTGGGCGGCTGCACAGACGGCTGACGTACCTGGAGCGAGCCCGACGGCACGGCCTGCCAATACCCAGCCGAAGACTGTGCGCTGCCCGACGATTTCTCCTCGTTGAGTGTAGCCGGGTCATAGCAGCAAGTGGTAGTAGTCGGCGCCGATGAGGAGGTCAACGCGTTGTGGCGTGCCAAACGAAGGATCGGCGAGGCCCTCGCAGTCAGCCCACTGCCGGATTGCCTCCGGGTGCAGCGGGGTGGAGGGGGATACCAGGCCGAGCCTGGGCAAACACAGCGCTGTCAGCGCGACCGGTGGTGCGGGCCCTGGAAGCTCGAGGCGGAGATGGGCCCGGACTCTGGACCGGACGGCGGACTCGCCACCGACGCCGGAGATGCTGGCTTCGATGGTTTCTAGTCGTGCGCCGACCAGGCGCGCGAGAGTCGCAGAGATGACGGTGACCTCGGAGCACGCATCGATCAGCGCTCGGGCCGGAACTCGACGACCAGGAGGACCACTCAGATGGACGAGGGCGGTCGGAAGCACGGCTAGTCACGCTTGAGGTGACGCGTCAGTCGAGTGCTCTCCCGATGAAGAGGTGGGCGGGTCCGTGCGGGGCTGCTTTGATGATGTAGAGCCGTCGGGCTGCCCCGAGCGGCGGCGACGGGCACCGTCGTGCAGTGAGCTGTGATGCTGCTCTCGGCAATATTGGCAAGCCGATCGGAAGGGGCAGTACTTCACAGCGTGCCAGGGTCGGAGGCAATTGAAGCACAGCCGTGCCTGGTAGACGAGCTTCCTCCGTGCGCGTACATCAAGCCCCTGGAACTGTGCACAACGCCCGGGATAATGGCCCTCGTGGCACGCCGGGCACGATGGCGTATCGTTGCTCGTGGCGAGGGCGTGGTAATTGCGTCCTGATGTCGAGGAGTTTGAGCGTGAGGCTATCCCGCTGAAGGGACGTGCGAGCTGCGAGGCTTCGACAGAGCTGGCGGCGCGGCAACGGCGCCGAAGAAAGTTGGTCAAGGTGGCGAATGTGGCGACGTCAACCTCGGAGCCAGAAACGGTACTCTCCAACCGTTGGAGCTCCTCCTCCCATGCACGCCTCGTCGCTGGATCCATGCCAGTCATTCCACACGAGACAAACCAATCGTCCCAGCCGGCTACGGGACGACCTAAGGCGCGAAGCTGGTCGCGATGTTTTTCCAGGGTGTCCAAGAGGCTCTGCAACCCGCGGGCGGACTCGTCTCTGGGTGGCTTGATGTTCCGCAGGGCTGTGACATGGTCGTGGACGAGAAGGCGGCTGTGCTCGTAGCGCGCTTCAAGCAGAGCCCATGCCGTAGAGTAATTGGCCTCGGCTACCTGGACCGTATCGAGGGCCGTCTTAGCGTCTCCCTGAGCGAGCGACTTCAAATAGAACAGGCGCTCAACGTTGGTGAGTTGGCAGTCCTCGTGGATCAGCGCTCGGAAAAGATCACGGAAGCTCTCCCAGTCTTCTCGTCTCCCGGAGAAGTTCGGAATGCTGATTCTCGGCAAGCGAGGCCGACGGCCCGAAGCCGGGTTCCCTGGGCCCGAGAATGGCCCGGGAGGGAGAGGTGCCGGCGCCAGGGAGTTTCTCGCGTCGAAGAGGCAAGACCGTGCGTCGAGGTAGTGCGCTTCCACGTCAGTGTACAGCTGGACCACCCGAGACGCCTTTTCCGGTGGCGGAGCTTCGATAAGCTTGAGATGGTTGGCTTGAAAATCGCCCTAATATCCGCCGAGCAACTCCAACCTCGCTTCTACCATGCCCGAGCTCCAGCGGGCTGGCTCCATCTCATGAATGGTGCAGGCCAGGTGGCCAACAACCTCGGCGAGAGCTGACTGAGCACCGAACAGCCTGGTCCAGCCTTCGTCCATTCTAAAACATTAGTATTCGACGCTTGAGCGGAATATGCCACTGAGCCACAGCTGGCGGTGTTAGGGGGGTCGACAATTCGAGTCGAATCGGCAGGCGACGCGCTTGAGCGGACAAGATGGCCGCCACGGCTGACAAGGAGGCCGTCGGCGGATCATTGCAACAATGGCGGCTTGATGAAGCCGGGCCACGTCTATACCACTCGTTAACTTTGGCCGTCAGCGACACAGCCTGCTTGCCGCCGTGGCTGGGCCAAATGACTGGACTGCGAGCTCTGTCAGCCGCGGCAGTCCCTCACATTATTTCACGCGTGCAGGGCGATACGGCTCCAACATTGCCGTGGCCGAACGACTGGTGCCGGGCTGCGGGCACTATGGCGATCGTGGCGGCCATGTTCGCGCTTTGTTAGTCACTTATACTTACATTGCTTCAAATAATGTGCAACCACCGGCTGTCCTCTGGGCTGCTGGTCGCTGGTTATCTCCGCGGAATCCGGCTCGAAGGACCAATGTTTAGTGAAACACTTTATTTGATATTGTACAAGCGGGTTGAGAGCGGGACAAGCGTCTGGTCGTCTCGGAGAGCAGTGCTCAAGTGCCCGAACGCAGAGGCGGCTCCCAGCAAGGCGAAAGCCCGTGAGCATGGCGGAAGTGCACGCAGCGCCTCGCTCGGCTGTTGCGCTCGGGCGCGAAACCAAACAATACAAATGAAACATGATTTTAGGGTGATACCTCAAAGGCCTTCAAGCAACAGTTCGTAATTAACCGTAGATTTTTTCAAATGTATACGGACTTTGTAAGGTTTTTCATTAACGAACACGGTTGAACACAAACTTTTCTACGTAAATCTAAGTTTACTACGAAATTTTGTAAACAAGACAACTGTAAGTATGTATTATATGTGCGTAAAAACTCAAAAATTTCTCACCTTATTTATTAATAGTAGCATTTTTTGTGTCAATTTGTGAGCAGTATGTGTTCTCTCATAAAACTAACTCTCAATAGTGGCAACTATTACAAAAGTAGTTTTTCTTTTCAACGTCTTTGAATATGCTGTATACTTCTGCAACTTAACCTTGACATCTGTATCTTGTGCAACTTTTTTAAACACAAATGACTTACACAATATATTAAATCACAAATGACTAATACATAAATTATAAAAAAAAAACTAGTTATACACTGAATGAAAAGGGTGAAAGACATGCAGTGCATTCTGTCAGAACAAAAATCAAAGTCTGTGGTGACTTTCACGCTCCTCGTCGGATTGGGCGAATCTTTCGGTGACATGGTGACATGATACGCTAACTTGTGGCTCAAAGAACTTGACAAATTAGTTTTCGCGTCCGTGACATCCCTGACACAAGCAATTCTACAAATGAGCCTACCGACACGCACTACTTTCTACTCAACCTAGCGTCGTTCTATTAAACGATCTTTACCACCAGTGAAAATATTTTCATGTTCTATGTTTAATTTTTCATAACTGTACTAANGAAGTGTAGCGTCGAGGAGGACGACCACATCGCCGACGATGAAGTTCCGGCGAGGAGTAGTCCATTTTGACCGCTGTTGGAGTGTGTTGAGGTATTCTCAGCTCTAGCGGGACCAAAACTGGGCGCGGACCCCCCGAACGAGCTCCCAGTGGGCGAGCGCATCCAAGCTCCCCGCAGGGGGGCCGGGCAGAACGATGGAGTTGAGCCACCGACAAGGAAGTGCCCTGGGGTGAGAATATCGAGGTCTCCAGTGTCTCCAGATAGCGGTGTCAGTGGTCGGCTATTTAAGACCATCTCGATGCCAACAAGCACCGTGGAAAATTCCTCGTAGGTGAGATGGCGTGACCACATCACGCGCTGGAGGTGACTTTTGGTTCACTTGACGGCGGCCTCCCACAAGCCACCGAAGTGAGGAGCACCCGGTGGAATGAACTTCCAAGCAATTCCTTGATTGGTGAGAGAGCCCGCGACCAATCCCCAGTCCAGCTCAGCTGTCAGCAAGGTATCGCGCAGCTCAACATCAGCGCGGCGGAAGCAAGTCGCGTTGTCGCTCCATATCTCACCGGGCCGACCGCGGCGTCCAGCGAATCGGTGGAGGTCGCCCAAGAATGACGCTGCCGAGATATCGCCGACCAGCTCCAGGTGCAGGGCCTTGGTGGCGAGGCACACAAAAACGGCGATGTAGCCTTTCGTGGTCCGGACTCCTCGTCCTCTGGTGGAGAGTACATGGAAAGGGCTGGCGTAGTCTTCTCCGGTGCAGGCAAAGGCACGAGAAGGGGAGACTCGAGACGATGGCAGTGGGGCCATGAGTTGAGTCGCCGGTCGCGCTCGCAGCCGGATGCAGACGACGCACTTGCGGAGGTGAGCCTTGATCCGCCGGGGCCCACCGAGGAGCCAAGCGCGCTTACAGACGTAGGCACTGGTGACACGGTATCCACCGTGCAGCGCCCGAGAGTGCGCCCAGGCGATGACCATGGAAGCGAGGGAAGAGGCGCCGCTGAGAATTAGCGGGTGCCGCTCCTTGTAGGTCAACGGTGAATGCTCTAGCCACCCGCCGACGCGCAGAATCCCGTCGTCATCGAGGAAGGCTGCTAACGGTACCAAGGGGTTTGTCTTCCGCAGACGTTCGCCCCGTTGAAGACACTGGAGGTCGTCCAAAAATGATCTCTCCTGGCTGAGGCGTACACATGCGAGAAAAGCGTCGTGGAGCTCGGTGGGCGTAAGAGGTGAAGCGACCGAAAGCACGGGGACCCTGCCCAAGCGGCTCCGGACAAATCGACGAATGCGTACGAGGAAGCTTAGTAGCATGCGTAAGTTGGAGAATTGCTCGAGGTAGCTGGCGTCGAGCTGCTGCACTACGCAGCAGATGGATGAATGCTGGTTCGGTGCGGGGAGCGGGTCTAGGGGCCACGAGTCGACGTCCTCGGCGAGCCAAGCGGGGCCCTCCCACCAAGTGCGCTGCGAGCGAAGGCCGGTCATGTCGGCACCTCTGGTCGCGAGGTCGGCTGGATTTGACTGGGTCGGCACGTATCGCCAGACACTCGAAGGCAGCATTTCCTGGATTTGGGCGACATAGTTGTCGATCAGCACGTTGTTGGTTGGCCTGTCGGAACGCAGCCAGTGCAGAACGATCTGTGAGTCGCACCATGCGTGACAGCGGTCGACAGGTACGCGTAGCTCGTCGGCAGCGGTCCGCAGGAGCTTGGCGGCAATCAGTGCGGCGCGGAGCTCGAGGCGCGGAATCGTCATGCGCGCGGATGTCTCTGGCGCCGGCTTGAGCGAGCGAATCGGCGAGAGCTTCGTCCGAGCCAGAAGAATGTGGCAGAGCGCCGGCCCAGCCCCGGGCGCGAGGCGAGAGTAGATGACGGCTGCCATCGCGCGGCGACTGGCGTCCGAAAAGCCGTGCAGGTGAAGCTCGGAAGAAGGCCCAACTCCGATCCAGCGCGGTAAGGTGAAGGTGGAGATGGCCTGGAGCTCGGCGGTAAATTCCGCCCATCGGCGAGTCATTGAGATCGGCGCAGGCTCGTCCCAGCCCAGTCTGGCGCGCCAGAGATCCTGGAGCAAGAGCTTGGCATTCAACACGATCGGCGCGAGCCAGCCGCATGGGTCGAACAGACCCGCGAGCGCCGCGAGCATCGTCCGCTTTGTGCTCTGCGGCTGGAGTGGTGGAGGCGTCAACTGAAAGCAGTCCGACGGTGGATCCCACTTGACCCCGAGCTCGCTGACGAGGCCTTCAGCGCTGAGCTGCTCCCAGGTCGGACGTAAGCGGACGTCGTCAGGCAGATCGTCGAGCAGCTCGCGGACATTGGCCACCCACTTCCGCAGGGGAAAGCCGCCGGCCTTCATGAGCCCGCTCAGCTGGTCGCGGAGGCGCCGAGCCGCGGTGACGTCGTCGGCCCCGGAGAGAAAGTCGTCGGCGTAGCGGTCACACAGGGCGGCTGACACAGCTTCGGGCCAGTTGTGGCCTTCGTCCTGGCATAGCTGTTGGAGGGTACGCAGCGACAGGTAAGGCGAGCACGATTCGCCGTAAGTCACAGTGAGCAGCTGGTAGTGGGTTGGAGGCTGGCTGGGATCGGCAGCCCAGACGATCCGCTGCAGGTCGACGTCACGGTAGTCGATCCAAATCTGCCGGAACATCATGCGGATGTCGCTGCAGAAGGCGATGCGGTGCCGCCGCCAGCGCATGAGCACCGATGGGAGCGCGGCTTGGAGTCTGGGTCCAGCGTGGAGGACGTCATTCAAGCTGTGGCCACTGGAAGTCGGGTTGGACGCGTTGAAGACTACTCGGAGCTTGCGCCCGCGATCAGCATGCTGCCAGATGCCATGATGATGGATGTAGTTGACGGGCCCAGCTGTAGCTGCAAGCTCAGCGCTGGTGAGCGGGCGCATGTGGCCCATCGCGAGATAGTCAGCCATGAATCGACTATACTCCACAGCCATATCGGGGCTTCGCCGAAGCCGGCGTTGCAGGGCTGCCAAGGAGGCCTTGGCGCTCTGAAGACTGTCGCCAAGAAGAAGCGAACCGCTGCCCTTCAGCGGGAGGCGCACGATGTACCGTCCGTCCGCGGCGCGTCGGTGGTCTGCGAAAGCACGCTCGCACTCGATGTCCTCATCTGAGCGGCGGTGAGCCTGAGGAAGATCCTCCATCTCCCAGAACCGCTGTAGCAGAGCGGTTAGCTCGTTGTGCCAAGGCGGAGCCACGTCGGATTGGGCGGCTGCACAGACGGCTGACGTACCTGGAGCGAGCCCGACGGCACGGCCTGCCAATACCCAGCCGAAGACTGTGCGCTGCCCGACGATTTCTCCTCGTTGAGTGTAGCCGGGTCGTAGCAGCAAGTGGTAGTAGTCGGCGCCGATGAGGAGGTCAACGCGTTGTGGCGTGCCAAACGAAGGATCGGCGAGGCCCTCGCAGTCAGCCCACTGCCGGATTGCCTCCGGGTGCAGCGGGGTGGAGGGGGATACCAGGCCGAGCCTGGGCAAACACAGCGCTGTCAGCGCGACCGGTGGTGCGGGCCCTGGAAGCTCGAGGCGGAGATGGGCCCGGACTCTGGACCGGACGGCGGACTCGCCGCCGACGCCGGAGATGCTGGCTTCGATGGTTTCTAGTCGTGCGCCGACCAGGCGCGCGAGAGTCGCAGAGATGACGGTGACCTCGGAGCACGCATCGATCAGCGCTCGGGCCGGAACTCGACGACCAGGAGGACCACTCAGATGGACGAGGGCGGTCGGAAGCACGGCTAGTCACGCTTGAGGTGACGCGTCAGTCGAGTGCTCTCCCAATGAAGAGGTGGGCGGGTCCGTGCGGGGCTGCTTTGATGATGTAGAGCCGTCGGGCTGCCCCGAGCGGTGGCGACGGGCACCGTCGTGCAGTGAGCTGTGATGCTGCTCTCGGCAATATTGGCAAGCCGACTGGGAGGGGCAGTACTTCACAGCGTGCCCGGGTCGAAGGCAGTTGAAGCACAGCCATGCCTGGTAGACGAGCTCCCTCCGTGCTCGTACATCAAGCCCCTGGAACTGCGCACAACGCCCGGGATAATGGCCCTCGTGGCACGCCGGGCACGACGGCGTATCGTTGCTCGTGGCGAGGGCGTGGTAATTGTTTCCTGATGTTGAGGAGTTTGAGCGTGAGGCTATCCCGCTGAAGGGACGTGCGGGCTGCGAGGCTTCGACAGAGCTGGCGGCGCGGCAACGGCGCCGAAGAAAGTCGGTCAAGGCGGCGAATGTGGCGATGTCAACCTCGGAGCCGGAAACGGTACTCTCCAACCGTTGAAGCTCCTCCTTCCATGCACGCCTCATCGCTGGATCCATGCCAATCCTTCCACACGAGACAAACTAATCGTCCCAGCCGGCTACGAAACGACCTAAGGCGCGAAGCTGGTCGCGATGTTTTTGCAGGGTGTCCAAGAGGCTCTGCAACCCGCGGGCGGACTCGTCTCTGGGTGGCTTGATGTTCCGCAGGGCTGTGACATGGTCGTGGACGAGAAGGCGGCTGTGCTCGTAGCGCGCTTCAAGCAGAGCCCATGCCGTAGAGTAATTGGCCTCGGCTACCTGGACCGTATCGAGGGCCGTCTTAGCGTCTCCCTGAGCGAGCGACTTCAAATAGAACAGGCGCTCGACGTTGGTGAGTTGGCAGTCCTCGTGGATCAGCGCTCGGAAGAGATCACGGAAGCTCTCCCAGTCTTCTCGTCTCCCGGAGAAGTTCGGAATGCTGATTCTCGGCAAGCGAGGCCCACGGCCCGAAGCCGGGTTCCCTGGGCCCGGGAATGGCCCGGGAGGGACAGGTGCCGGCGCCAGGGAGTCT